GGAGGGAACCGATGAAGACACCTATTGTTCCCCAGCCGCATTCGCCACCCGCCATCCCAACCCTGTTGCCACCCTCGCACTCCCCGCCCCGCGTAGGACCCCAAGGCCCATCGGCGGGGTCAGCGGCGCAGCACCGCCGCCATCGCCTCGGCCTCGGCGAGGCTGAGCGCGGCGTCTGAGGAGGCAGCCGCCAACTGCTCCTAGCGCTCCAGCCACAAGTCCCTGCGGCGGGCCTCGGCCGCCTTGGCCTCCGCGGCGGCCGCCTGCTCGCAATATTCCATGGCCCAGTGGACCGCGTGCTCGGCGCACGCGCGGGCCTGGATGGCCGCGAAGCGCGCCTTGTCCACGGCCGCGTCGGCCTCCTAGGTCGCGGTGGACCGCGGCAGAGACCCGCCGCGCGGTCCCTCGCAGCCAGCCTGCAAGTCGTCGGCGGCGGCGGCGAGGGGCTCTGAAGCAGCCGCGGCTGCTGGCTCTGGCCCCGCCGCCACTTGGGCGGCGCGGCAAGGGGGGGCTGCCCCATTTCGGGCGCGGCAAGTCGGCATCGACGACTCGCGTGCACTTGGGAGACGGCGCCATCGGCGTCGCCGACGCGCGCGCCTTGGGCGCGAGGCAAGGGGGCGGGGGCGATAGCGCACTTGCGGCGCAGCGGGCGGCGTGGCATGCGCCCCGACGCCCTCTCGAGGGCGCGGGGCGCTAGGAGGATGACGAACAAGGCAAGCGGAAGTAGGCGGCGAGGGTAGGGAGGTTGAGGCAGGAAAGTGAGGACGACCACGCGACGATGAAGGGGCCTCTGGGGTGGGAGCACCATGGCAACCATAAGAACAATCACGTGGCAAGCTCGGCGGCCATGAGGAGGATGATGATGATGAGGAGGAGGAGGAGGAAGGGGAGGAGGAGGAGGAGGAGAGGTGGGGAGGAGGAGGACGAGGAGGAGGAGCAGCAGCAGGAGGAGGCGGAGGGCCAGACGGAGACGGAAGCTCAGGGACGCTGGCGTCTCCGCAGCACGGGAAACGTTGCTCCTCGGCGCCGTCGCCAGCCGCCCGCGGCTGTAGCAACTACCAGCGTACGAGCGCACGAGTAGCATGAACTCAAGGAAAGGCGCGGCGGACCATCGCGACCAGGATGGATCTCCGATGAACGCGGGCTGCACGAGCGCACAAACGCTTCGCGCGACCCCCATCGGTTACCCCATCCTGGTCGCAATTCTCTGTGCCGCCCCTCTCCCCGAGTTCATCCTACGCGTCGTCCTCGTTGTTGTCTTCATCCTCGCATCCTCCTCCTCCCTCACCGCCGTCGCCCTCGATGTCCCGCGCCCTCCCACCCCTCCCCCACGTTGCGTCTTCGTCTGGTTCGTACCTCAGGCGGTGTACCCCCCCGCCCGCGCCCTCATCGTCAGTCAGCGCCCTCCGTCGCCCTCAACCTCGTTCCACCCTCCTCTTACCTCCATCCAGCCCTCCTCCAACAGCGGCGGAGGGCGCCGCGGCTCGAGCGCACCTACTTGGTGAACTCCATGGCCTTGCAGGCCTCCATCACCTTCGCCAGTGCTGGATGCATCAGGTGGCTGTACGCGTACGGAGCCTTCTTCGAGGCCGCCTGCTGCTTGACGACGAACGAGCTCAGCGCGGCCTCGTCCTGTGACGCCTCGATCTCTGCCAAGATCCTGCACTCCGCCGTGGAGCACTTCAGCCTGATGATCGTCTCGAGCGTTTTCTTCATCAGCTCATCGTCTGGATGCACCTTGAATGTCTGGGCGAAGTCGACCATGTCCTCATACGCGGTCGTGAGGTCCTTCGTGATCTTGTCGATCACGTCAGGGCTCCTGGTGATGATCGTCACCATCGCAGCCTTGACGATGGCTTTGAAGGAAGCGTCGGCCTTCAGCTTATCACCCCATGTCTTGCCCTTCTCCGTCACGCCGCCCGCGCCATCGAGCACTGACGGGCCGCCAGCCTTGATCTCGCTGGCCAGCAGGGCAGCCACGATCGCCTTCTTCTCCTGGTAGCCGACGTCGTAGCTCTCGGCCGCAGCGCGGTAAAGAGCCTCAACCTGGCCTCGAACGCCGTTGAAACTCACGGTGTCCAAGAACGCAGCCTGCACTTTGGACCACTCCCTCTCCAAGTTCAGCCATTGGCCATGCAGGCCGCGGAGCTTCACACACTTCACGTCGATCGCCAGACGCTCCTGAGCGGTTGCACCGATGCCCACGTAGTTCGCCGCCGCCGAATGGAACGCGATGGACGCCTTCACATGGTCTACGAGCAGCTTCTTCTGGCCCTTCCCCTCGGGCGGCACGAACCACACGAGCTGCTCGAGGACCTCTACCCAAGTGGAGATCTCCGCCATCTGGTCCGTCCCGCCTGCCCCGAAGAGCAGATCGCGCAAGTGCTGGAACAACTTCTCGACTGCGGCCGTCATCTTCGTCTCGATGGGCTTGTCGGGGTCTCGCGTAGCACGAACGCCCTGGATCGCAACCATCAGCTCCTGGCGCCAACTCTGGCAGTCAGCTCCTGCCAAGTCGGTGATCTCGGTCAGCTTCGCGATCAGAGGCATGAGCTTCTCTTCACTCTCGCTGGCCGCGACCATCGGCTTCACCTTCTCTGCCTTGGCCTTGCACTGCATCCAAGACAATGCAACACCTGGGAATCGCAGGGAGGCGACCGAGTCCATCATAGTCATGACCGCGTCGGCGTAGGTCACAGCGCTGTCATCAGAGTCCAAAGAGATCGCCTCGACCCTCTGCTCCAGGATCAAGCCCAACTTCTCGGAAGCCTCGTCGAAGAACTTACCCAACGCAATCTGCAATATCTTGACAACAGTGGTGTCCGAACCATTCCTGCAGTCGGCCTTCTTAGCACCCCACAACGACAAGCTGGCCGCCAAACTCGTCCGAGCGCTAGGCGAAGTCGGCGTTGCCGTCCCCTCACAGAACTCAGTCTCCATAATCTCTCTGAACGAAGTGATGGCTGAAGGGTACACCGCGAGCTTCACCATCATGTCGTCGTAGCTTGTCTTCAAGGCCGCTGATTTCCTGATGCACGGTACGACGAGTGTCGGCGCAACCCTCTTGACCAGCTCCGAGTCGGCATTGGGGCCGAAAAACTTCATGAATGGAACCACGTACTTGACATCGGCGGCGTCGGCGATGTGAATCGTCGCGCGCGTGAGCGCGAGCACCGTCTGTATTGCCGACATCTCGTCGGGCCCCATCTCGGAGTGGATGAACGAGCACACGATGTTGTCGAACGATCGCAGGTTCATCAAGGAGGCCTCCCCGTCGGTGTCGTCGAAACTCAGCACCAGCGGGCCCAAGATGCCCGATGCGGCGAAGTATTCGAATTTGTTGATCTTCTCCTGGGGGCTCAACGAGAGGGACCGAACCTTCGGGTCGAGCGGGTCGAAGTCGTCGAGGTCCGCGTCGGGGCCGCCTGGCGCCGTCATCATGATGGCCCCCGTGAGGAACGCTAACTTCGTAACGGTGTCTTCCTGTCCAATTGGCCACTTGGGAACAGCGTTGGCGAGGGCCCTGTGCACGCAAGCCTCCTGGAGCTGCGCGGGCCACATGACGTCTGCCTTCTTGAGCAGTGTCAGCTCGTCGCCGACGGTATTGAACTCTCCGAACTGGATGTGCTTCGTGTCCGAGCACGCCTCCGCGGCCTTCGCGAGCTCCAGGCGCGCATGGAGAAGGTTGGCCTTCTGCAAGTCCGAGGCCGCACCCGAGACACGCAGCATTCCGACCTGCCCATGGGGCGCAAGCGCATGAGAACGAAGATTAGTGGTACTACATGGTTTCTTTCGGGTCGGAGGGCATACTACCCTCCCCACGCGCCCGCGCTCCCCCTGCGCCTGGGCAGAGGGGCGGCGGGCCATCAGCACAAGCTGATCCAAAATGGCCCCAACACCCCCTCGGGACAGCTAGAATGCATTGGCCGCCGCGCGGCTCCAGATAGCGCGATGCCACTTGACGGCCCTCGAGCCATCTAGGCCCAAGCGCCGCCCCACGACAAGGCAACCCCATCGCAGGACCCCTCCCCCCACGCAGGCTTGCCCAAGCGGCCAACGCCTTGCAGAAACCAGATGGGGGCCACGAATGCTGCGTCTCGCCGCTGCACTCTCTTGGAAACCCTCCGCAGCTCGGGCGGGGCGGGGGGGGGCAACGAGGCCCAATGCAACCCAATGGGCACCGCATGATGCTCCAGGAAGGCCCGAACAACGTTCAGAGCCACGCCGAGCCGCCCAAGAGCCGTCAAGGGGAATAGATACGAGGGCCTAGAAGGACGCCAAGAGTCAAACACGCAAATTGCGTGATGCATCTTACCCAGGATGGCATGCGTGGGCGGGGGCGAATACTCGAACGCGGAGCCGCGAGGATGGCTGAGATGCGCACCAGAAAGCCCATGACCCCCCACCCCCCCGATGGCCAACCCTAAAGGAACCCCAAGTCGATCAAGGAGCCGCGGGCGCGTCAGAAGACCACCGCCTGCCCCCAAACACGTCCGACTAGCGCCCAAGAGCTCCGACACATGATGCAGTTACATTGCCCCCTCGAATGGGGCCCATGACACCCGAGCGTCTCCGCACTCGCCAGGGCAAAGACACATGTCCTGCACCGCGCCCGCGACCAGCCGAGAGGGGGGGAAGGAGGGTGGAGAGAGGGAGGAGGGAGGTGGGAGGAGGGAGGCGGGAGGAGGGAGGAAGTAGGAGGAGGGAGGAGGGGGAAGGGAGGAGGAGGGGGAGGGAGGAGTGAGGGGTGGCGCACCTCGAGACCGCTCGCGATCCTTCTCCCCTTTCCCCCCGTCCACCCATCCCCCATCGTCCTCTTCCAGCTCCCCTCGCCATCCAGCCGCGTCCTCCTCCTCCTCCGTCGTCCTCGTCAAATTCCTCTCTCCCCCGCCCCCGTCGCCCCTCTTTAACTCCCACCTCCTCCTCCTCCTCCTCCTCCTCCCCTTCAACCTCCTGAGCGCCATTGCTACGTGGGCTGGCGGAGATGCGCGAAGCGTCAATCATTGTTCTTTCTCGCGCATGCGCCTCCTCGAGTGCCCCTGCTTCGTCGAGCCGCTGAGGATCGCGTCAATGTTCAGCTTGTCGTCGTCACCGAGTACGCTCCTCACGGCGTCGGAGTCGCGAGGAGATCTCGCTGGCGACCTGGCGGGGCCCTTCTCCTCCACGATGGTCTTGCCGCTGGACTTCTTCTGGGCGGCAACTGCTCTGGATGCCAAAGTCGGCACGTTGACAGCCGACAGCGTCTCACCAAAACCATCAGCACTACCACCTGCCTTACTTGGCGTCTCCACGGCGGCCTCGGAAGCACAAGGTGGAGCCGCCAGTTCCTGGATCTTCCCGTTGACGTCATCCACCGTCAAGGATGCGTTCCTGCAGAGCTTCACGAATGCGTCCTCGTTCTTCGACGGGCAGGTGAGGTAGTCCAGCATCTTGGCGGCGTGCTTGTCGCACAGCTGACGGGACGGATCCACGAACACCTCCTGGTCTTCAACCTCGATGTTGAAGTACAGCTCGTACGAGACGCCTGCGGCACCGAAGGAGCCGTCGTCGTGGATGAGGACGCCCTTGAACTTCTCCTGGCTGTAGAACGGCTGCGGGAGGTCCTTCGCGACGAAGCCAAGCTCTTGGTATTCCTTGCCGAACCTCGCCAGGAACTCCGACGGCCTGAGCCCTCTCATGCGGACGAACGCCTTCGCCCCTGCCATGAGATTCTTGGTGACGTGGCGCGGGAAGAAGTCCTTCTGAGACGGGTCTGTCGACTTCTCCCACACGACGCAAGCCTTCTCGAATGCGTCGTTGTAATCTTTCTTATGATGGCACTGCTGGCACACATGCGCCCACGTGCCGTCCATGCTGAACCCGATATTGTACACACACCAACACTTCTTGCAGCCATTGCCATACATGGTCGTCTCCGTCACGACGCCTTTCTTGTCAGTCTTGATGATGATGAACGCCCAGTTGTCAGCGCCAATCTCTGTGGCCTGAACTCCGCATCTGGCGCACGGCGACAGCTTCTTCGGGATCTCGCCAGCCGTGCCAGGCGTCGGGGCACCTGCGACGGGCACCAACGCAGGCTGACTCCAACGGTGGGCGCTCGAAGAGACGAGCCCGCACTGACCCCCAACCTCGACCCCGTGCCGAACGGCACTGGCCTCACAAGAAGCCATCCCTTGGCCCCAGGACGGTTGCGAAGCTGCGGTGGTTTCAAAAAAACACTCCTCCCTCTTCCATCCCCTCCACTCCCACCTTCACCCTCCCCGTGCCGTCGCTGTGCGTCTCTCACTCCTCCAGTTTCCATTCATCATCCCCCCCTCCTGTTCTCTCGACGCTGTGGTTATCATCCCCCGCCAACCTGCTTTGGGGCCCTTCGCATCTCCTGCCTCCGCCTTCGTCTTCTTGGCGCCCCTGCGGCCCGTCACGACGGAGGCGGCGTCGTCTGCTGTCGAGCCCGCGGCAGCGTCCTTGCGCTTCATGGCGGAGAGCTCTCGGGCGGCCGTGCAGAAACCAGCCCAACAGCACAAACCAAAAAAAAGGCGCCGCCTCAATAACGAAGAGATCAGCCCGACCCGAAATGGCCGCAGCGAGGACGGGAAAGAGGGGAGTTGGGCAGAGCGCCCGTCCGAGCGAGCCTCGAGGTCGTCCCAGGGGGCCGCGGGATTGGTTGAGGTGTTTGCAGGGTTGAGTAAGGCCCCCGAGCACGCCCGAGGGGGTCCAAGGTGGCCCCGCGATTTCACTAAGGGCCATCAGACTGTCGTGATATCGCTTCCTGGGGGGTTGCCGAGGGCTCTTGGGTGATGCATCGGGGGGAGGGGTGGGGGGGTGGCCTTTTGGGGGCCTGAGGGTGTTACGAGCCCTCCTCTTCTTCCTCATCCTCCTCCTCCTCCCTCTCCTCATCCTCCTCTTCCTCCTCCTCCTCCTCCTCCTCCTCGTCCTCCCCCTCCTCCCCCCTTCTCCTCCTCTCCCTCCTCCTCCCCTTCCTCCTCCTCCTCCTCATCCTTCTCCTCCTCCCCGTCCCCCCTGCACCTCCTTCGGGGAAGGGCGATCTGAGACACTGGGAACGCAACGTCAGTTGGTTCCTGGAACCCTCCCAGGTTCCAATCGCACCAGTGTTTCGACCTGCGTCCAGCCGCGGTGACGAGAGAACCCCCGAAGGCCAACAACAAGTGCCTCAACCGCCCTCCACTGAGATCCGCAACCATGCTCGACGCCATGAGGCTCTCGGTGGGCCTCGGGAGCGTCGAAGACACACTCGAGACAAGCCAGCCCCAGGACAGGTCTTTTGGCAACCAGGTGTGTGAGAACGTCGAGAACCAGGGTACACCAAGAGGGAGGGTGACCCGGATGGGGGGTCAACGTTCGATCGATGGGCGCACCGAAGTGCCCCAGGCATATGCCCCCCGCCTGCCCGCCCTCCCCATCCTCCCACCCTCCTCTTCCTCCTCCTCATCCTCCTGCTCCTCCTCCTCCCCCTCCTCCCCATCCTCATCACCCTCATCATCCTCCTCCTCATCCTCCTCCTCATCCCCCGCTCTCGGGACGTATCGACTGCAAATTCCGACTGATCACCCCTCCCTCTCTCCTTCGCGTTCGTTCGCACCGCGCGGCAACGCGGCGGCGCGCCAGTCGGAGGCGCCTGGTAGTTCAAGTACTGAACCAGCAGTCGGGAAGGAGGATGATGATGCGGAGGAGGAGGAGGAGGAGGAGAAGGGATGGAGGTGAGGGGGGCAGGAGGAGGGGGAGGAGGATGGGGGAGGAGGGGGAGGGGGAGGAGGAGGAGGAGGAGGAGGAGGAGGAGGAAGAGGAGAAGGAGGGCGACGGCGTCGGCGACTGCGACGCGACGCAGCTGAAGACGACGTCGACGGCGATGGCGACGTCATCGAATGCGACGGCGACGTCGACGGCGGTGGCGACTGCGACGATTCCGATTCCGATTCCGACGACGACAACAATAGCAAAGGAGGCCGACGCATGAACCCCATGCCATATTCTGAGACACCGAGCCCTCGATCCAACACAAGCGGCGAGGCAGCACGGAGGCGGTCGGGCCCGCCTGGAACTTGTGGTCAGGCGGCCGCCAGGCAGCGGCCGAAGGAAGAATGCGGCAGGCAGGACGAACCAACTCCCCTGTCATCCATCATTCGCCCCTGGGCTCTCGTAGACCATCCTTCCCTGCCTCTGTCCTCCCACCCTCTTCCAGCAACATCTTGCGCCCTAGCCCCTTGCACTTCTCCCACCATGATGCGCTCGTGTAGCCTACGCGGTGCCCCACCGTGCTTTTGTGCGTTCTACAGCATAGCGCACGTGCCACACATAACACCTCCTCATATATCATCCCCCTCCTTACACTTCCCCCCACCCTCATGTCTTAGAATTTGCCCGTAGTGTTTGAACCCTGGTATTGTTTGTGTCTTCGCTCCTCCTCACCTCTGTGCTCCTCCCCGTTGCTCATCCTCCCCTCCTAGTACTGGCTGCTGCATCTCAAGGCGCAGAGCGGGCCAGCAGGCTCAGCAAACGCCACCATACCTGACGAGGCGGTCCTCGGACTTGGAACTCGAACCCTGGGACGGACTCTGGCCCAGCGGCATGACTGGCGGGAGCGGCAACAACTTCGACAACCTGCCCAGAGCCGTTGGTGCGGTCTGCGCGCCCTTGTCCTTGGTTTTCTTGATATGGTTCGAGGCCTTGGCGATCGCGGTTTTGATCACGGGGTTCTTACTCTTACCAATCGCAGTGGCGATGTCCTGAAACGTACGTTCGTACTCTCGTGCCTCCTGCCGCTGGCCTTTCAGGTCTTGTTTCAAAACCATCACCTGTCCCAAGAGCTCCCCCCTCTTCATCTTGTGAGGGTCCTTCGGCATACTCTCGTGAGAACTATGCGGGGTGCACTGCAGGAAAGATGCGGAGGGCACTGCAAGAACGACACGGAAGAATTGCAACGGCTAAGCCGATTTGAGCCAGAGAACCGCGAACGGAGTGGCGGTACCAACTGATGAACACAGTTGTTTGTGAAAGGCTTGCAAGCAGTGCAACTGCATTCATGTAAGCAATACAATACATGCAACAATCACGCACAATACATGAATTGGCCCCAGGAAATGCAATGCACGCACGCAGTACACTTGCAACTTGTCGCTGGTGCTTCTGCTAACGGTGCGGCACACTGCGTGGTTAGATTGTGTTGGTGTAAATGCGATAATATACCTTCTATCCAAGAATTAGTTGGCACCCCTGAGCGCACTATCGGTTCGCCATACGTTGCGCAACACGCTTGCCAAGTGGGCCCTCTTCCCTCGACCTCCCCCCCGCCTCCCCACCCCCCCCCCCCCCCCCCCGCGCGCAACCAAACCGCGCCCCCGCCCCTTGCTCCCGCGCCCCAAGCGCTCCCCACCGCGCCGCGCTGTTGGAAGCTGGTGGGCGGGCTGCGTTGGGTGGTGCGCGGGGGGGGGGGGGGGGGGGGGGGGGGGGGGATGGTGGTTGGTGGGCATGCGAGTGGCGGCTCGGAAGGTTGCGCGCGTCGGGTGGCCGCTTGGACGGGTGCGTGGGTGCGCGGGTTGCAGGTGGGTCTCGCATGGGTGGTGGGTGGGAGGTGGGTGGGTGGTGGGCGATGGGTGGGCGGGTGGTGGGTGGACGGGTGGTGGGCGGGCGGTGCGTGGACGGTGGATGGGCGGCGGGCGGGCGGCGGGCGAGCGGCGTGGTGGCGGCTGGTGGCCAGCGGGCGGTGGGCGGATGGAAGCGCGCGGGCGCGTGGGTTGTGGGCGGGTTGTGGCAGAGGAAAAGCGGCGGGATGGCGGGGGAGGGTGCAATCAGCAACATGGCCCGCAGCGCAGAGATTCAAAGGCCATCTGGAGAACTGCGGTCCAATCCCCAACCCCTTGAAGAGGGGCACCCCTGCAACACGAACTGCGTTTTTAACCGAAGCAAAGCTGGTCCCCCAGGTGGGCGCGGAGGGGGCGCATCAGAGGGGCACCCCTGTAACGCCAGGCTGGCGGGCGCGCGCATGGGCGCGTGGCGGGCGGGCGGTGCGTGGTGGGCGGTTGGTAGGTAGGTGGTGGGTGGGTTGTGGGTGGACGTGGGTGGGCTTAAAGTCGGCGGTGCGGCTGGTGGTCGGTGCGTTGGTTGCGGTGGGCGGTTATCGAGTGGCGGTTGGGTGGTGCGTTCGTGACGCCCCTAACTCTGCGCGGGCGCCCCCGCCCCGCGCGGGGGGGGGCCCTCGGGCGCCTCCCGACGAGGCCCCGTGCGAGCCACCGAGGGCTTGGTAGCCCTTGCTTCTCTGTTGAAAACCCTATGGGGGCTCTTTTGCCCTCTGTGGCCCTTCGGTGAAGTCATGGGGTCCTTTCGTGGTCCTGCTTGGGGCCTAGGCGTGCTACTGGGCCCAAAGCACAAGGGGGACCACTTTCGGGAAGTGGTGCCCCTCGCGTTTGTTTGGCGGCGCCCCAAAGCGCGAAGGAACGAATCGCCGCGCCCGCGCGGGCGCGAGGGGTGGCGCGGACGCCAGGTGCCAGCCCATTAGAAAGAAGGTTTTAAGCAACGTCTGACTTGCCTGGGCGCGAACACTAAACGATGACGACAGCGGATGCGGCGAATGGGCGCACGACGGATGCCCGACCCCTGTATGAAAGCACCTTCCACCCTTGTCAGGGGGCGCCCCCATGCCCCTGTTAGGCGGCGCGCTGGCGCCCAACCCCCGCCCCCTGCCAGGAGGCACCCTTGCAGCGCAAAGTGCATGTTTCATTGGTGCGAAACTAGCTCTCCAGGTGGAGGGGCCCCATTGGGGGGGGGGGGCGCAGCTGTAGCGCCAGGGTGGCTGCGCATGGTGGGTGCGCGGTGGGCGCGCGGCGGGCGGTGGGCTGGCGGTGGGCGGGCGGTCGCGCGTGGCGGGTGGCGGGTGGGTGGCGGGAACGCTGGCGGGCGGTGGATGGGCGAGTGGCGCACGGGCAATGCGCGGCGGCGGCGGCGCTGCGCACCCCCCCCCCGCCCCCCGCCCCCACCATATTCCAGCGCCGCAATGTTCGAAAACCGCGCGGCGGCACCGCGCGCCGCCGCGGCCGCGCAGCTATAAGGCCCCCGTGCCGCGCATGGCCTGGCAAACTAGAGACACCGTTGCCCGCGAAATCCGCACCGCCCCGCAGCCGCCCTGCAACCCCTTGTAGATTGCGAAAATTCAAGCCCACATTCCGCGCCACGCGGCCGATGTCTATTGCGGGGGCACTACGAATTGGCGGCCGCGCGCCATGCAAACATCGGCGCGAAACTGCATGGCTCCGCGCGAGGAAACCGCTGAAGGCAAGCGGGCGGGCGCGCGCGTCGGACAAGGCAGAGCGCCGCTAAGCCGCGATCGACCGTCTCGGAGGGCAGCAGCTGACATCCCAGCCCCGACGGTCGCGGCCAAGGCTGCGCGTCCGCGGCTAGCGCATGCGGCGTTGATCGCCACGGGACAAGCACAGCCGCCTGCATTCAAGCCAGCAGACGCTTG